TCAGCGCGGCAGCCATGTAAATTTAAATGAAGTGGCGATTATTTAAATCGCCGCTTCATTTTCCTATGCCTGGTAGCCTCATCTACATGCCTCTGTCGCCAGAGGCATGTAGTCTAGACGTAGCCTGAGTGTTCACAGGTACGGCCGCTCACAGCTTTTGTTGGCTGTGGTTCGCTGTTCCTGACCAATGAGAGCTGCGAGAAGCAGTGGCCCAGCTTGTACCACTTCCTCCAGCTCCTATTGGCCAAGAACAGGGAACTGCAGCCAATGGGAGCTGTGAGTGGCCATGCCTGTGGATGCTCAGATAAATAGTGTCTGGCAGGAGCTGACCTTCACAGGTACGGCCGCTCACAGCTTTTGTTGGCTGTGGTTCGCTGTTCCTGACCAATGAGAGCTGCGAGAAGCAGTGGCCCAGCTTGTACCACTTCCTCCAGCTCCTATTGGCCAAGAACAGGGAACTGCAGCCAATGGGAGCTGTGAGTGGCCATGCCTGTGGATGCTCAGATAAATAGTGTCTGGCAGGAGCTGACCTTGGTCAACCACGTCAGTCGTCAGGTTGCTTATTGTCCACCCCTGCTCTAGATTCATATCCTGTTTCATTAGAATAATTGTATTTTAATAGTCTCTTAATGCTTGTCAATGAAAATGGTCATATTAGTTGCACTAATATTGTGTAAAATATGTAAAGTCTTTACTGGCTGAGATGCTTCCTCTTTCCAGTGATAGCTCAGATGGAGAGGGGAAAATATTTCCTGTTTCCAGGAAGCTATGTAATATCTAAATCCTACTCCTGTTCCTTGGGAAGATTCACTCCCTAAGTCGTTCTGCCTTTGGTGATATCCTTAGTGAATCTCCTTTCTCTGACTCTGTTTGTCCCCATGCTGACCTCTTCAGCTCCCATGCTTTGTCTGCTTGTGTATTTATATAACTCTTCACCTTCAAGTATTTTAAAATAGAAATAGCAGTCTCTCTTTTCCTTCCAGCCTAGAGAGGAAATAGTTTGAATATTTCTCTGTGGAGGGTTTTTTTTCATAGTCTTGCTTAAATAAGAGCTTATCAACACATAAGTTGTACTGCCTAACCATAATGTTTTAATTATAGCAGTACAAGCTTCCTCATGTGGATGCTGATTTACCAATATAAAGCTGCTTATAGCAGTACGGTTTGTACCCACACTGGAAAGGGAATAAGCTGTACCAATATAAGACACTCCTATCCTAGTATAACTTCCTCCAAGCCAGGATTGTACTGGTCTGTTACTATGGCAGTTTAAAAAACTCTCACCCATTGCCAACATAATTGTTCTGATGCAAAATATGTGTATAGATATTATTTCTTTAGCAATTTTGTGGATGTGTCCATTGTAGAGTTTATAGAAGGAAAGCCAAGTCAGAAAGCAAACTCAGTCAGTGTAGTGTGGCCCATAGTTACTCTCTCTTGCATTAAATATTAAGGCTGGACCCTAGATAGCCTTGGTTCAGTTGCTATGAAAGTTCTGCCTGCCATACTCATGAGTCTCCCCATTCATCAGCTGTTTTGTGATTCCAGTAAGGTGCAGATGTGATGGTGGGCCATGTATGCAACTCTCTCTCTGTTTTGTGGGCTGCATCCACACCATGTATATTCAGCCTGAGGATGTCCAATGGGCCACAGCAGGTTTAGAGCTTGGCAAAGCTGAAATGTTTTGAATTAAAAAAAGACGACCATTGGAAGTGTTTATTCTACAGCGCTGGATAAAGAGACAAAAAGGTGTGGTGGTGGTCTCAAGCAATCAGCATAAAACCTGCAACTAAAGTACAGGAACTACATCACCCCTATGTTTGCTGTAGCTGACCTAGTTCTGTTATTTCCAACAGGGCAAAGATAGCCGATTCTAATATTGAGGATCAAGAAACAGTAAAAGCCCTTAAATAATTTTGTTAAGTTGACTGACTTGGCGATTATCTTCAGAAGGATATCCTGCTAACAGGCCTATTCTGCTTTGGGATTTAAACCACATACGTTCCTGCTTTGATTACATTTCTAGCTCTTCTTATTGAGACTTGGCATTCTCTGCCCAAAGCTACAGATTGACTTGTTGGAGCAGCTCTTCAGTCCAGCCATGAATTTCTTTGAACGGTTAAAAGTCAAAGCAATAAATGTTTAATACAAACAAATGAATTTTAATGGCAAATATTTTATTTACTTTGTACATTTTATTCTATGTCCATCAGTAGTATCATGATTTTACAAATGCTAATTGTTTTTTTTTGTTTTAAATCAGCCTCGTGTTTTCCCTTTTTCTTGGCACTCTACCACCAAACTAAACACATTGATTGATAATCATGTATTTGATTAAAAAGTGGGGGATGCATAGGGTAATTATTTGTAATGGTACTATAATATCAATTTTATTGGCCTTGCTATCATAGAGACTATACATCTCTCTAAGGCTTACTGTCTCTCCTAATATTAGGAAAGTACAATCCTTATTGAGCTTTATTCCTGATGATTCAACACTAGGTTCTAATTGAATTGATGAATAAATTCACTGAGATTGTGAAGCACTGATACATTAGTTTGAATTCAGCTCTTCTGCAACAACTCAACACATCTCTTTGAATTTTCTCCTGGTCTGCTGCAGTATTTCTTTTGGTAGCTGACACTAATGTGCAGAAAGACACATTCACAAAGGGCTTCATTCTCTCACTTGCTCTATGTGAGCAAGAAGTGGAAGTCCTAGTTGCAGTAAGATCTTTTCCGAGATTACCAGCATAAAGAAAAATAAGTGGAAAGACCACACAAAATTAATGAAACATTTTGTAGGATGGGAACTAGAATTTCCAATATTCACATTCCCTGTTCATCTAGAAGAGGATGATTTCACACCCTTCGATCACCTGCAAAGAAAGGCAGGTTCTATAATTTCCTCAGACTCTGTGCTGTGAATTGGTCAGCACTGCTGTGCATCACTTTCAGGACACACACAGATTTCCTACGCTGGCTCAGACAATATGCATTTAACAAAAGACAGAAAAACTGCAAATATTGTTTACCAACAAGCTCTGTTGAATGTTTGAATCACTTTCCTTCTTTTATTAATATAAACTTATTTTTTCCTTCATTTTTTTGAAAAATACATTCATTTAAATAAGAACATATGAATCAAGCATGTACCTTCTCCTTTTACTTTCCAAACAAACCCAAAAACCTATTACTTCACTTAAACACGCAAGCAACACCAGGTATATCTGCTAGTAACAAAATAAGGAAGAGGCTGACACTCCAATACCACAGTAATGGGTAAGGTAAAAAACCTGAATCTACTAGAACTTATGTGAACTGAAAACGATACACACCTGTAAGAGAAACCTGGCTAGAAATAAAAGAAAAAGATCTGACAGAGGCTAATATATTCTAGAGAGTGTTGTATCACTTGGTAGTGAGTTATTCTGACAGTTCTTTGGGTGCTCTGGACTTCATTGTGCTTAACTGAGTATCAGCTCTCTGACATCACCAGCCTATTACCTACCCATGCAATGCCCTGTGGGCTAAGCCAGGCCTCACTTCACCCTCCAGGTTAACAATAAGTGTACCTCAGTCTCCAAGCTCCATGGAACCATTCCCCCGTCGTATCTGGCCTCTTCTTTACTGTACATTCCAAGAATTACTAGCTCAGCTGGTCCCCAATGGATGGTGTACACACCAAGATTACTTATTGGCATAACAGCACAGTACGGTAATTGGAAATATCCATAGTGAAAATGAGAATACATGCATCAAACAGAGCTGCAAAGATTCAAGTGAGTACAGGCAGTCACCGAGTTACGCGGATCCAACTTATGTCGGATCTGCAGTTACGAACGGGACTTTTCTCGCCCCGGAGGACTGGAGCAGCGGGACGCCCAGATGTGCTGCAGTCCCGCCGCCCCCGTCTTCCGGGGCGAGAAAAGCTGCTCCACGTCTCCCTGGTCTGCGGGGGGGGGGAGCCCCCTCCAGCAGACTAGGGAAACGCAGAGCAAAGCCTTGGAGCACGCCCGCAGTGGGACAGCCCGGGCGTGCCTGGGCTGTCCCGCTGCAGGCGTGCTCCAAGGCTTTGCTCCCCGTCTCCCTGCAGACCAGGGAGACGGGGAGCCAAGCCTTTGAGCACGCCTGCAGGCGGGCAGG